TTTTTTTTTCCATATCAGAATGGATGAATATTTGTTTTCTCCATTGACTTATTTATGAGATATAAGCTTGTTAATTTCTACATACTTTATGAGTTAAAAGCGTCGTTGCTAACCTCAAATTTCAAAAGGATTGTTAATTTCACAACAAACTGGTAATAATAACCCAGCTGTCAGACTAGAATCAACAAATCCCCACTAAATTAGTACCAATTATATACTCTTAACCACAATAATAATCAATTTATAAGAAAATGCAGAAATTTAATCCAACACACTTCCTTAACAATGCAGAATAGATCCCCCTTCCCACAAAATTTACCTGCAATTGCAACGTGTGAAGTAGAAAATTTACCTGCGAGTTCAAAAACCTTGATTTACCGCAAAATTTACCTGCAAGTTCAAAAAACCTTGATTTTCAACAACTGGAAAAATTAACAGAGAAGAAGACAGCGTTACCTTACTTAACAACTCTGGATTTGACCAAACAAGCACGCGAAAGGGATAAAATTAACTTCAGAAATCCTGAGCTCCTTCCGATGGAAATGTCGCAACTTCCGATCGGACAGGCAAACGTAACCTCGTCGAAGGAGCGAACAAGAACGAAGGAGCCCTAGAAGCTTCTCGTGCAATCTTACACCTCGTGCGAAGCAATGAAGCCGAACAGCAACGACGATGATGCGAACTCGAGCTCCCGTCCTTACCTCCGATGAAAATGGCGCAGCTTCCGATCGGACAGGCAAAGGGAACGTCGTCGTCGCGCGAAGTCTAAGAAGAACGAAGGAGCCGAAGAACCCTCTCGTGCAATCTTACACCACCTGCGAAGCAATGAAGCCGAACAGCAACGACGCCAAGTAAATCTTCTTCCAGCGAATTTGTAACCCGCTCGATACGAGCGGGTTTCTAATTCCCGCAAAATAGCCTCCTTATTACAGGCCTAATGCATCGGAGGAGTTCCTTTTATTTCGCTCAAAATTAACCAAACAGCCTAATTTAATAAATACATGTATTTGTTTTACTTTACACTCCTAATTCAAACAACCAAACAGCCCCATAGTGCAATTTGAATGGAACAATCAGTGTGAATAAGCTTTCAAAAGTTGAAGACTTATTTAATGGCTGGTCTTTCATCAAGTACAAAAAGATTTCAGATGCTCAATGATACCTCGTTGAAGAAATTAGGTTGTGTATTTATACAAAATGGCAAAGTAGTGGCATATGACTCAAGACAATTTAAGAAACATGAAAGAAATTATCCCACATATGATTTAGAATTGATAGAAGTGATTTTTATACTCAAAATATGGAAACACTATATATATATATATATAGGTGCGAATTGTTTACAAATTGTAAAAGCCTAAAATATATATTTAATTAGAAGGAACTCAATTTAGGAAGTCTTTACAAATTATAAAAGTTTTATGTATGTATATATAAATATATAAACATAATTAGAAGGAACTCAATCTATTAAAACTTATTAAAGATTATGATTTGAATAGACAATATCATCCTAGAATGACAAATGTGGTTGCAGATGTATTAAGTACAAAAACTTTTAGCGCTGCAAATTGGATACTCACTCAATAGGAGCAAATAATTAAGGATATGAAAAGATTAGAACTTTCAATGATAAATTCCAAAGATAGATTTCATGCCATTGAATCAACTAAAAATTTAGTCGACATTGAAAAATAGAATCTGAAACTATTATCATATGATATTGGTGTTCATAAAATCATAAATATGATGAAGTCAGGATATCTGGAAAATTTTGTATTAAATGAAGACGAATTGTTGAAATACAAAAGTATAATTCATGTTCCAAATGATGATAACTTAAGAGAAAAAAATACTTCATGAAGCACATCTCTCTGGTAATACATGTTGAAGTGTTTTTTTTTGTATCGACCCAATCTCGAACAAGTCGATTCGAGCTCGACTAAGATTGATCGCGCTCGATCAACTCGATCGAGTATCATCGAACACAAATTAACCCAAATCGGACCTTAATTAAATCAAATTAAGCTCAATTAAATCAAATTAAAGTCAAATAGGTCTGAATCAAACCCGATTGAGCCTCGTCGAGCCTCGTCAAACAAATTCGATGCAATTCAATGCCGATTCGAATCCAATTTTGCAAAATTGGCTCAATCAAATCCGATCGGACCCAAATCGACCCAAATCGATTCAGATCGAGTCTGATTTGGGCTCAATTTTAGCCCAATTAACCCAATTCAGGTTCAATTTAATCCCAAACAAGTAAAATTGATTTTTTTTTGTCTTTTCTAATCTTTCCCTAAAGTCTAAAAATCGAATTGGAAAGCTCAGATTAAATCAACGACCACCAAAGGTCGCATCCCACCTGATTTATGCGACTGTAGCAGGGATAGAGCGCAGAATATCATATCTTAATGTAATAGAGCTTCATTTCACGTATAGAGAGAGTAAGAGGCGAAAAAGCAAGGGCAATTCGATCTTGTTTGCTATGTGCATCGGAATAGAGCAGAATAAGAGAGTGGGAGAGAGAAGAACAAGGAGTATTGGAGCGTGCTTCTTGCTTGCGGCCTAAGCCAAGTGGGGAGGTGTGTCGTCTGTTCGTCCAACCAATAAGAGTCCAACACAAGCTCGCACGCATCCGACCTAGCGAGAGGTGGAGCGGACCCAATTCGTCCCATATGTGTGATTCCTCCAAAGGCCGGTGGGTTTCGCTTCATGTGTGCCATTCCTCCTCTCATGTACCTACAACCTAGCCAACCGAGAGGGAGCTTCCACCTGTTGCACTCTCCACCTTCCACTTTATTGTCGTTATTCCTCCAAATTTAAGAACAAAAAGGGGTTTGTTGTTGATCTTCTTTCAAAAGATTGGTGAAGACATTGTGTATGAAAGCAAATCAACAGCTTGGAACACTTTGGACGACAAATCCGCCTTCCGGAGAGGCCTGGACAGCAGCTTATCACCTCGTTCCTTTGCTTTCTCACGTTTACAAGGCGAGTGGATTGCGGGTTACGCCGTGACAACCCGGCAAGATAAAATTCCTCAAAAACTTAGGAAATCCCTAGGTCTTTTAGCCCTTGGTAGTATGGTTGATGTTCACCAAGCCTTAGGACCCTAGAAACCATGCAATTTATTTTCTAAAATCCCAAGAAAACCCAAATGTCCGCTGTCCCCTCAGTAAAATTGTGGAAATGCAGTGATTTCCCATAATTTTCTCTCATGTGAGGATCAAAAGAGGATGGTGGGGGCCATTGAACTTATGTCCAATGTCCCTATCTTGCATGCAATACATTCATCTTGTGTCCAACATATTCGCCTATGATCAAACCTTAGGCTAGACATTGTCATTCAACCATAACTTGAATGACAATGTTTCAGGATCTCTCACATTTTGTAGCATGCACCTCACTTCTAACAAATCGTAAGTTATGACAAAATTAACTTAGAAATTTGGAAACATGGCACCATTGGCATTTGTATTTTCTCTTGAATTTGTTGAATGTCTAGAAATGAATTCAATTGGTTGTGAAAACTCACAAACAGATAATGGGTTCTTTCATGAACCCTCAAGTTCATGTTCGAAATCCCATAATAATTTGTTGTTTTGATATATTATTTTCTCTATCTTTCAATTCCTATTCAATTTACAATCCGACTTATGTCGCAATAAAATTGAGGACCTACTAAAGTAAGCTAATCTGTTAACCAAACGGTTAGAGCAATATTATAATTTTTTTAGATGTTTTGCATAATTCACATAATTTTCTAGGCTTAAAATGCTACTAGTTGGCCTAAAATAGCCCGCTTGACCATACCAATGTTAGCACATGCTATTTTGTGCAGCCAACATTATCAGGTCCAGTAGTATGAAAGTTTTGCTACATTCCATTTTTGCACAAATTTATATGAATATCTCCATATTTTCACTAATAAGCTCAAATTTTAGGCAACATGCACAGCCAAATACCAAAAAAAATACCATAAATAAACAAAAACATTTACTCTTTCCTAAAAGCATTTTAAAAAAGAGTAAATGAGCTTAAAATGGAGAATTAAGAAAAGAAATAAGAAGAAAAAAAAAAGGAGGCAAGCACCCTTAACTTGTGAGATATTCTCCTCTCTCCCTCCTTTCTCGTCACACATTTTGCTCATATTATGTTGCTTTCAAGATATGGTCTTATGAGCAAGCTTTCTTTATTTCTCTCTTTATCACATTGTTGTTGCCCTCGGGGCTAGCCGGGAGTTACCTTAAAAAATAAAAACCTTGTGCCGATAGCTTTGCAGGTGATTGAGATCTAACAAAAAGAACCCATTTGACTATCCTCAAGCTAGAAGCAATCAAAGAATTATACTACAAAGACTATGTCCAGACACACAAATCATCATCCTCATGACAGATCAAGGCTTAAAACAAATCTCCTTCAAAAGCTTGCATACAGATACAGGATCACATGGGAGCTTCTTCATGCCATTTATGTTAAATGCAGTTAAGGGAATAATGTTAACAATTGTGGAGCTAAAGTGTCGGACCACCCTTTGAACATCATAGAGTGACGATCAATGCAATCAAAGAGTGTCCTAATTCAAAATCCATGGCCATCATCTCTACATGGACAAGTCCCTATTGTCAGGAAGTTGAAAACCACTCATGGTAATGTCCTTAAGGCTATGAGGGATACGATTTAAAGACCTAGCGTCATCATCCTAATGACTGATTTGTAAATAAAAAACTCATTTCCTCATAACCTCAGGCAAGATGCAAGATAATCTCAAATATTGTGACACCTAAAGACTGATTGCATATGAATTGTTGATATAAAAATATAATAAAAATTACACTAACTCTAAATTAGATTAATAAATATTATGCTTTAAAGGATCATTGGAAAATAAAAAAGGAAAATCATAAAAATCAACATAAAATCATATACTATGGCCAAAAAAAAGCTTGTGCCAATCACCACACAATTCATCAGATATAAGTGAGAAATCATTCTCCTACCTCCACCTATGTCCATGTAATTATTAATTACTTTTATGATTCCAGTAACTGTCACAACGTCACCTGGTATGCAAAAATCAACAAGATCTTCAGTCAATTCACACTCCACTGTGCGCGGCACCCTACCCTCTTCATAAATCCCTGATTTAAGTATTTCTTGAATCCTGAATAAAGGAGATTATAAGAATTTTTCAATTATAACTAAGCTTCTTAAGCATAAATATCTTCCAATCGAGAATTTCATACCTTACTTTTTGAAAATCTATCGCTTTAGCAGTAGATCTGACCGGAGAAAAAGTCCTGCTTCGGCATCCATGAATAGTGCAACCTATGGGTGGTGAAAACTTTCCATCTGGAAATGCTCTTGTAATAGTAGTTCCACACTTCGCACAGGTAAAATCCATTAGAGTGATCAGAGGCCTAACAGTACTGACTTTGACAACAGTGCCACGTATAGAAACAAGCTTCCCTGCACTAGTACACTTTGAAACTGAATAAATGTTTTCTTAACCAAACAAATGAAAGATGAGATAAGTAGTGACAAATAAAGGTCCCCCACCCCCGCCCCCCCCCTTTCAAACTCTTTAACGTGATCAATGAATCCAGATGATTATACAGCCTAATATTAATCTTCTCAGCATCTACAATATGATAGTCATTTCCCTTCAACAACAGAGCCTGCATATAAATTTCAATGAGACATTTGTGTTGGGAATTTTCAAACTCAAAGGAGGATAATAGAAATATCTACATAAAGTACCACATGAGCTGCGGCACCCATGCATAAGAGTGCCTCTTTTGGCACTTCCCTCAGATTGGCATAAAACCCATCTACCAAACATACTTTCCGAAGCTTCTGGAAATCAATAGGCAGAAAGACAGAACTATCATACTGTACCTGTATATGAATTTATATTAAACTGAGTCATAATGCAAGTTGAGGTGCAAGGAAACAACTTTGTAGTTCCAGTAAAAGTGTAAATTGAGAGAAATGTGCATTACTTTTCGGAAAAGAATGTACTTCCTTTTTTAAAGATTAAACAATCAGCATTTATATCTAAACAGATTACACTATATATAATTGAGTTACAAATGTGGGACTTTTTAGCATCGTTTAAGCAACATTGCATCGGGACGAGATAATGATTTTCCCTAGTAGGATGCATAGTATATATTTAGTGATTATCCATTATTTTTAGCCGGTATCCCTTCCAGCAAGCCAGTATTTTTATCCCTTACTAACTCCACATTACGATGTTAATTAACATTCACCGAACCAGGTGCCTTAACCCACGTGATGCTGCGACGCAATCGAAGCACCTGGCACGCATCCTTGGGGAAAAGCGCGAATAATAGCAATCAGAAAACTTAATTAGATCGCTAAAAGTAAAAACCCTAGCCTCTGTGCTAAAATACACGGGGGCAGAGTGTAAAGAAAGCAAATAAAACATTACGTTAGAGAGGATGGTATCTGCTTGGGGGGATGAAAAGAAGTCCGCAAGCTCGGCCACAAGCTTATACTTTCTATCATCTATGGCAAATTCCGCCTCCCGGAAATAACATGGCCAGATATTTGCCGCAGTGTCCGCATTTTCGTTGAGCTCCAGTGCCCGTCGCCGCCCCTCCACTACGTACATCAAGAGCTCGATAATGGCGGCGGTGAGGGAAAGAAAGACCTGGAGAGAAGTGTGAACGATGGCTGGGGGATAGAGGAGCGACAGCGCCAATTGCAGCGGGGCTTCGAAAATGGGCGGGAGGAACGGCGACAGTGACAAAGTGATTTTAGACAGCGCTGTCAAAACCGGGTCAAAGGGTTGGGTTCGAGTCTAACCCGAAATTGATTCTACACTGTCCAATCCGACCTGAATCCGACCTATTTTTACAAACATGTCGGTATTCTGAACCCGAACCCGACCCGCTTCGGGTCCAGCCCGAACCCGAACCAAATCGGGTATATTTTCTTAATTTTTTTATTTAATTCAATTTATTTTAATCTAAATCAAATTAAAGTAAGATTGACTTCAATTAATTTAAAATAAATCAAGATTAATTTAATTTTGGTAATAATGTTTATAATTTTTTGAAATATCATTTACTTATTTCATAAAAATTCATTAAAATCCTCCTAAATTAATTAAAAATGGGTCAAACCGGGTTGATTTCGGGTTTTCGGGTCAACCCGAACTCGATCCAGTTTTACAAATGGGTCGAAATCCCTAACCCAAACCCGAAAATTTTTGGGTCGGGTCAAATATTGACACCCCTAATTTTAGCTTAGCACCCAGGCTCGATGGTCAGTGCTGACGTCTGGGCCCACCATAAAACCAAGTTCGGGCTCAATAACAAATGGACTATAATAGCATCACTATATGGTCATCACTTTTAAATATTTCATAAGATTGTAAATAAATAGATTTTTGGAAAAATTAGGGGCAAACATCATTGTTTTGAAAATTGAATCGGACAGGCGTGTTCGACCGGTTCAACAGTAAATCGATCTTATGGTCGATTCGGTCCTCTTGAAGAACCAGTCTAGCAACGAACCAGTCAAAACCGGTTCAACTGTTGAACCGGTCCCGTTTCTTAATAACCGTCCAGTTTAAATAATAATATATTTAAATATTTTAATTTAATATAAAATGTTTAATTAAATATTAAATTAATTTAAATATCATATGTTTTATTTAACAATATAATTACAAAAATTTAATTGTATTATATATTAAATATTAAATTAAATATAAATAATCTTGCTCACATGATGTCATAATATCTTGTAATCTCTTAACCCATTAATAAAAGAAAAGATATATAAACAACACAATATAAAACTCATAAGTGATGTGGGACTAAACAACTAGTAATTTTTTGTTTCAACTTTCAACAATGTATGCATGAGACTTGTTTAAATGAGAATTTGTTGGAAAATTTTCTTGTAGAATTTTCAATGTGAAAAAAGTAGTAATAAAGAACATATAAATTTATAGTAGTTCGATCAACTTGACCTACGTCCGCTCCCCGGAGCCTCTCGTCCGGGTATTACACTAAACTCAGTGACTCTCCTTTTGCTCCCACAGCAAGGCAGAGAAGCCTGTACAAATCTCCTTTGCACCAACACTGGTGAGGCAGAGAACTCGACTCCTTTTGCTTCCTCCTGAAGCAGTAAGAGAACCTCGATCAATTGTTGAAGTAAACCTCTCTTGAACCACCAAGGAATCAGGGATGATGACTAGAAAAGATGACTCAGATCCTTGCTTGGATAAACCTTTGTGAAACCCCTCACAAACTCCCTCTCACAAGATCCTCTCTCTCCCCCTTACTCTCCCTCTCCTATTGGCTCTCTCAGGTCAAGATAGCAACAAAAGATACGCTGTTTGGTAAAATAAGAGGTCTAATATAGAAGAAATTCGGATTAGCTCTTAATTGGAATAAACTGACATTATCATCCAGGACGATCTGAAGATCGTCTTATATGATATGTACAGATTCAGCTTAATCAGTCAGGACAATTTGGGATGATCAGAAGGTTAATTTATTCAGATGGTCCAGGATGATAGGGTATCGTCCTATATGATTAGTTCAAGTCATCGAATATTGTCCAGACCATCACCCTGGATGGATGACTGGATGATGGAAAAGTAACTAGATCGTCTGGGCCAATTAGTACAAAATGACAAATATCATCCAGAACATCACCATGAATGGATGTCTGGAAGATGGAAAAATAACTTGATCGTCTAGGCCAATCTCTCGATCGTCCTAGATGATTAGTTTAATTCAGTACATATTGTCCAGAGCATTGCCCTGAATGGAACCAGGCTGATTTTTGATCGTTCAGGAAGAACTATGGTTTATTAACTGATCATCCGAATGATCCTACGATCATCCAGGATGATATGATCAAGCAATCAAACCTTAATTTCTTTCTTTAATTATCAAATTAATTTAGGCATAATTGTGCTGCATCGTCCAGGATGATGTTCTGGACGATGTCCAAAAATAAAAGATGCCTAAATAGATATGGCGGCTGATTCTTTCTGATTTTAGCCTATCATCCCAAACGATGCTAATATCATCCAAAACAATTATCTTAATTATTGTTGCCTTAACCAGGATGCCCTAATTAATATTTTAATTTTTAACTGATCGTCTAGGATGATTTTTTATCATCCTAGACGATGTGATCAAAAATAAAAAACTCTAATCAAACATGCAATTTTTTCCCCCAAGTGTGCGTGTGCAAGGTTACATAGCATCATGATCCACATCATTTAAAATTGACTCAAAAAAGGGTAAAATACACTTAACAAATATTACAGACTAACTCAGTCCTAATTGACCCAATCTTGAGTTGGTTCATTTGCAATTTGATTTTGTGGACCTGAAGTATTAGTAGGAAATGCAGTCGTAGAAAAATAGAAATATTTGTTATCATCAAAATTTTATTCCCTATAATCAGATTCACAACAACCTCCCCTTTTTTGATGATGGAAAACAATCAAAACAACGAAAGTAGTTTATTAAAAATAGTATGAAACAAGAAGTTCAAAATTTGACTAAGGGACGAATACAGTACAACTAGTCAATCATAAACGAACGAACATAGTGCAAGATAAAACCGTATAATTACTCCCCCTTTTGACATCACAAAAAGGAGGAGGGAAATAAATAAAATAAAAATTACCAAATAGAAGTAAACTACACCAAGGAAAAAAACAACATCACAAAAACAAACTAAAAGAAGGACAATCATTGATCATATTATAGTCAGGGTTTTGAGACAAGATGTGAAGCTTGTCTCCAGTTGTAGACAACTGCAGGAGTTCTTGATAGTCTTGATATGTGATTTCTATAGAATGCCTATTAATATTGTTGCGGATCTATTTTCATGGTTTATGATTTTGATGTTAGCAAACACTTTTATTTCTCTACGACTATCTTATCTACTGATATTTTAGACCCACAAGATCATACTGCAATTTGGAATCAGCTCTAGATTGGGTAGACTATGTCTGAGTCTGTTTGTAGCCTCTTCTCCTTTCTTGAGTCTTTTGTAATTGGTGTGGCTTCTGAAGCTACGTAACTTTGCACATATGAACCTTGGAAGATTTTCTAACTCTTCCTTAGAGTTTACTATTTTTAGTAACATCGTCCGGGACTATATTTATGTCGGCCTGGACGATCGGTTCAAAAGCAAAAACCCTAATTAAGGCAATTTAATAAAGGCAACCGTCATTAAGCCGATCAGTTTGGACAATATTTGTATCAGCTAGGACGATAGGCTCAATTAAGAAAGAATCAGCCGCCATGATCAGTTTAGATATTCTTTATTTTAAGAAATCAGCTGGGACGATATCCATATCGACCCGGACAATCTAACTCATTATGCCTAAATTAATCTGGTATATTTGCAAAGCATTAAAGGCTGATTGATTTGATCACATCATCTGAGATGATCGCAGGATCGGCCGGGACTATATCATGGATGATTGACATCGACCAGCTTCGATTCAGGGTGAAGATCAGGATGATTGTACTCGATTTTAAACTAATCGGCCAAGATAATATTACATCAGCCCGGACGGTGTAACAAATTTTCTTCTGATCGTCCCAAATCGTCCCGGGCTGATTAAGCATAATTTGTACTGACCGGGCATGATGATATTTGTATCGGACTGGACGATAAAGTCGGCAAGTTGCATTAATGAGCTCGTTTTGAGATCTTATATTTAATCTTTTGACAAGGCACTTTTGTAAGTGTCTTTGGTAGTCATTGTAGCTTCGTTCTTTTGGGGGAAACTTGAAGAGAGAGCTTGAAAGGGAGTGAGGAACGGGTGAAGTCTGAGAGGGAGAAGATCCTATTAGGGGGGACTCGAGGGAGTGTGGAGGGGGATTCCACATGGTTACTCTGATAGGCTTGCACCTTAATACCGTCGAATTCAAGACTTGTCTTGAGGGAAGTTTACCAAAGAAGAGGATCTCTTTGGTGTCAAAGGACCCGCGACTCTGCCACATCGGGGAAGGTGGAAGTGATTTTATAAGGGCTTCTCCGCCTAACTGTGGGGGCTAAATGAGAGACACTTAGTTTAGTGCAATACTCGGAGGTGCCTCCGAGGAGTGGACGTAAGTCAAGGTTTGACCGAATCACTATAAATATGGTGTGTTCTTTCATTTATTATTTCCGCATTTAAATTTCCGCACTTTGGTTTTCGTAATGGTGAATCTTGATTCTGGTTTTAAGATTGTGTTTATTTTAATTACTAATTCACCTCTCTCTTAATTAGCTTTGGGCTAGTTAATAAGGGGCCTAACATCCCTAACGAACTTTCAAGTGGTATCAGAGCATGATTCATAAAAACTAAGTTTGAAAACTTTTTGAATTTTGATCCATAGCTAATTTTAGTAATCATAATATTGCAGAAGGTTATTCAATCACTAGATCACATTTATTTGAAAATATTACATTTGATTTTTAGAAAATTTGCATGTCTACTTTCTTGCAATCGATTGATTTTTGTATGTGGCATATGATTTTAAATGGTTATTCTATACCGTCTCGTATTTTAGATGGAATTAAAACTGATATTCCTTTTAATCAATGGAGTAGAGAAGAGAAAATCAATGCTCAATTGAATGCAAAATCTTTAAACTGTTTTTTCTGTGCTTTAAATTTTTAAGATTGTATGTTAGTTTCCACATGCACTACTGGTAAGAAAATTTGAGATAAATTACACAC